AGGCCCCATGTTGCGAAGAGCCTCCATCCAACATATGTTCATGTAACTCTGGGTATTGACCAGCAGAGGGTACTGGAGACAACGACACAATGGGAACAGTTACTGCTTCCACAGGACATCCAGCCTGTTGATCTGGGTGGCTGGGGACCCATACCCCCATTTATCACAGTCTGGGGAATGCGGCACACTGCCTGGTCAGCCTATAGTACGATTGTGAAAGATAGAAGGCCTGAGCAAACTACTTGTTTCTGTTTAAAGTATGTTAAAAATTAGTTTTTGAAAAACAAACGTATTGCTCACAAACTTGACACAAAGATAAAAGAACTACAACAATACTTACTTTGGCCACACAATTTTCAGTCTTCATAGCAGTGCTCGCTAGACATACTGTTTCTTGGTTTAAGCACAGTCTGGCACAGCTGTTGTAGGTCTGTGGAAAGATTTAAAAAATTCTGAATAGAGGCAAGCAATTTGCTGTAAGGCATCAGATATTTGGTGCAAGATACTCTGTGAAGCCATTCTACTACATTTCGGAATCACTTCTCTTTCCTAAATAAAGAGGAAAACAGGGCGAAATGAAGTTTCGAATCCCACTCAAACTAGTCTATAAAATAAATCTATGCAGGATGTGTGTGTGGGGGGGACAAAACATCCCCCCCCCAATCCTGCCTGAATATATTTTTATTTTTTAAGTACAGTAGAAGCTTAAAGTAAAGGAATGCAGCATCGCCTGGTTCACCCCGCTCTCCTTACAAGTCATAACACCAATATCTGTTGAGAGTGGCTGAGGTTAGCGTATGGATAGAATTCAGCAAGAAGGAGAAATTGAAAAACAAAACAAAACACGAATCTTTCCAAATGGCTCCGTGCTATGTGGACTAACACACTAGGTCTTTCAGCAGTGGGGGAGATAGGGTGGGGTGTCTAGATTCAAACTGGGACAAAGTCACAAGCAAACAGGCATTTGATGGCCTCAGACTAGTCCTTGCAGACATTTGCCCACATCATAAAACCACCACTTTGGCATGTTTAGCACTTCCCACTCAGGAGAGAGATCAGGATGAATAAACACATTATAAATCATGATTTAGATGCACTGACCTAACTGTCATGAGGAAATTTGGACAGCACTTGCTTGCTCTATGCATTGCTCCAGCCAGTGTTATTTGAACCTCATTTTAAAAGCATCAACATTCACTAAATTCAGTCCAAAACTTGGACTGAGAGGGAGAGGGAAAAAAGAGAGAGACATATAGACGCGTTGCTTCCCCATCGTTCGTGATTGAGCTTTTTTTTTTTTTTCTACTCACCTGGTTTTTCACTATTTTCTGTTGCATCTTGCATTTGCAGTGTTTTATACTTACATCTCCTCACTCTGATTTCCCCCCAATTTACAAATCCATTATTATGTATAGGAATACATGACAGAATGTATTACTAGGCACTGCATAAATTAAGTGCTGGGTACATATTAAAAGACAGTCCCTGACCCAATCTAAATAGACAACAATAAAAAAAAAAGGATTATTTCCCATTTACAGATGGGAACTAAGAGAGAGAGAGATTAAGTAATTTGCCCAGGTCCAAAGGAAGTCTGTGGCAGAACCAGGATTTGAACCCAGCTCTTGAGTCCTGGTCCAATCATCTCTCTTCCAAGCCTGCTGAACGAGCCTACTTTTCAGAAGTCAGCCTTAGAATAATATTCTACCCAATAACCACATTAATAACTATGGGGATGGGAAAGAACTGATTGTCTGAATACAAAATCAGCAACATTCCATTTTGAGTCCATGGAGCAGAATCTAAAAACTAGAACTGGCTCAGCAGGAAGGGTGACCTCTATCATAACCACATAGAACCATTAGTGAGGACGGCAGTGTATAAATAAAGACACTTATTCCAAAGCATTGCACAACTCCCATTATTTTTATTCACATTCAAGGGACAGGGACACTCAAGAGTTTCTAGTCCCAATGACTCCCTGTGGCCTTGGACAAGTCATCCAATTTCTCTGAATCTCAGCTTCCCCATCTATAAAATGGGGATAGTACTACATACCTCACAGGCCATTTTCACGGCACCTTGACAGCATAAAGCTCTATGTAAGTGCTAAATTATAAAACAGCCTGTCATAACTATAAAGGGAAGGGTGACAGCTCTCCTGTGTACAGTGCTATGGAATCCCTCCTAGCCAGAGACTCCAAATCCTTTTACCTGTAAAGGGTTAAAAAGCTCGGGTAACCTGGCTGACACCTGACCCTAAGGACCAATAAGGGGACAAGATACTTTCAAATCTTGTGGGGGGAAAGGCTTTTGTTTTGTGTCCTTTGTTTAGGGGGTTGTTCGCTCTTGGGACTGAGAGGGACCAGACATCAATCCAGGTTCTCCCCATCTTTCTAAACAAGTCTCTCCTATTTCAAACTTGTAAGTAAAAAGCCAGGCAAGGCGTCTTAGATTTACTTTGTTTTCTCAACTTGTAAATGTACCTTTTACCAAAGTGTTTATCTTTGTTTGCTGTACTTTGAACCTAAGACAGAGGGGGGTCCTCTGAGCTCTTTAAGTTTGATTACCCTGTAAAGTTATTTTCCATACTGATTTTACAGAGATGATTTTTACCTTTTTCTTTAATTAAAAGCCTTCTTTTTTTAAGAACCAGATTGATTTCTCCTTCTTTTAAGATCCAAGGGGGGTTTGGATCTGTGTTCACCAGGGAATTGGTGAAAGGTTTCTCAAGGCTTCCCAGGGAGGGAATTCTTGAGATGGTGGCAGCGGACCAGAGCTAAGCTGGTAAATAAGCTTAGGAGTCCTCATGCAGGCCCCTACATTTGTACCCTAAAGTTCAAAGTGGGGATACAGCCTTGACACAGCCATATAATTCCTCACCTTTCCACAAAAGATGAGAAAGAAAATGAAACTTCAAGGAGTGAGTATATAACTTCTTTGTTAAGGATGTGGAAATGCATTCAACTTGTGTAATGAATAAACATACTGCACCCTGGAGAAGGTATATACATGCTCGGCAGCATGCTCAACAAGGTCTCAGGCTAAAACTTTAAGAGTGATCTATGTATTCTTTTAAATCAACACAAAAAGTTTAAGACACTGAATCACTAGCAATGCACGCACTTACTTTGACAGTTTATGACACTGAATGACATTCATTCTCCCTTCACTTATTTACCCATGCCCAAGTTCAGAGCTCTATGTTTCAACTGAAACACATGATGACCTAGGAATGGGTTACCTAGGGAGGTGGTGGAATCTCCATCCTTAGAGGTTTTTAAGACCTGGCTTGACAAAGCCCTGGCTGGGATGATTTAGTTGGGGTTCGTCCTGCTTTGAGCAGAGAGAGTTGGACTAGATGACCTCCTGAGGTCTCTTCCAACCCTAATCTTCTATGATTCTCTATGATTCTATGACATCTGAAGTTGAGGGACTCTGGTATTACAGCTCTCTTCACTGTTTGAGGTGCCTGGGCGATCAGCTACTGTTCCAGGAGAAACAAAACCCTGAACCCGGGTCTTGAAAGATAAAAACCTTTTCAGCTCACTTTTAAAATTGGACCCTAGTAAGAACCTTTTCTAGTTTGAACCCACCCTGTTCAAGTCTCCCCTCACTTTGAGTCATGAGAAGAGGTTTCTTTGCATAGGGAGCACTTGGAAACGGTAGCCTGGTTCTATGCCAGAGGCATATAGCTTTGCGTTGGAGTGCTTTAATATGTTTTTATATTGCATATAAAGCATGCAAACATAAACCAGCTTGCTGAAAGCTACTCTCTTCGTGAAAGCCGGCTGTAATTCTGAACAAGTTTTCAATTTTCACACTGCTGCTAGGGTAAAACATTTTAAAGAGTTTAATTTTTACAGTGGCTTCACTGACATGGGATTATCTAACAAAGTAATGGCTAATCAATAGAGGGTTTAGTTGTCAGGTGAAACATATAACACACTAAAAGGGATTGATTGCCAGACTCCTCCTTATTTACTAGGAGGTATATATTTAAAATGACACAAACTTGTTACCAAGCTGCATTCCTTTAACCTTGCAAAAGCCGTTCGAGAAGAACGTTAAGCAGCCCTATAGCAAAACAAGCTCTAATGAAAAAAAAGTCTACAAATATATGGCAGCATCAAATCATGGCAGGAGCAGGAATGTGCTGCATTCATTCTTAGCCAAGGGCTTAAAATGCCACACAGATGCTAGACCATAGTTCACTAAACATATCTAATCTCACTCCATGAGTATCTTAGATTAGATTTTTCTAATGCTTATGTGACTGGGTCTGAGACTTCTGGCTTTTTAAAAAGAGAGCATGACCCCAGCGTAAAGGAGTGCAGATGTCAATGGAGGTTTGGATGAGCAAGGAATGCCAGATCGAAGTACTGAGCGCAAAGTGGAATTGTGTTCATAAGGATCTCAACCAGTAGAAAAGTCATTTCTTTGGCCATTTATCCAGAGAATCCCCAGTCTCTGAATGAAACTCCACTTTTTAATAGACACTACAACTCAGAAGTTCAATAAGATTTTTTTCAATCGTTAATAATTACATGATTGATCAGAGAACGCGAACACTAATAAAAACACACCAAAAAGACAAAACCCAGAGCCTTCCTCCGAGTCATTTTCAGAGCGCAGATTATTAAACTGCTTCTTTTTCAAACAAGGGCTTTTGTAGCTAAGCACAAATTGCCAAACAGTTAAAAAAAAGTTATTAGACTCTGAAGGATTCAGCAGAAGTGGGAAGTTATATAAACAAATCACTCCAGAAGATTTGGAAAGATCAGTTTCATCTCACTTACAGGGTCTTCGGAGACCTGCATTAATTATCCTTAAGGTCTTTCACATGGACTATCTAAAATAAATGCAAATTTATTTATTTATTTCAAATGAGGTGCTCCTCCTGAAAGTATTAAATAATGTCTACAAATTTAAATGCATTTTTATAAATAGGTAATTAAAGAAACAGAAGACTAAAATTAAGTCAAGCTGCAAAACATTACCCAGAATCCATTGTGGAGGTTTTTTTTTTTTTAAAGCACATTTAAGACTACATTTTTGCTATCAAAAGCCCACTGTGCTGGGGGAGGGGGGTCTCTGTGGGAAGTCATAAGACAAAATATAGGATAGCCAAACAAAAAACTAGAACATTTGCAAGACTGTCCCTAAAGCGTAGTTTGTCATATTGCAATTACACCTTGCCTAGTGCAAAGCCAGAGTCCTTAATATTGCCGCTAGAGGGAAGAAGTGTCTCAACACAGGGTAGACAGGGAATGGGTTTTCTTGAGCAATTACCATAACAAAGCTCCTGTGGCTGCATGTACCTTCTAATTACTCACTACAATTAAAATGACTAACCCATAACAAACAGCAAATAAATAAATAAACCCCACCCTGCCTGTTCTCAGAATCTTCATTAAATCTTATACTGTT